CGATAGTAGTTCGTCTTACACAATGTTTTCTGTCGTTACATTTGCGCCATGCAGTCGTTCCGCTTTAGTGAGCAAACATACATTTCCTCAACGAGTGCCAAAGAAAGCGAGAACGCTATTCAAGCAAGCAAGCAAAGCGTCTGACAGGTCAGGACTAATAAGCGAGGTGACTCGGACTGCACGCGATTATGTGCCTCTGTGGATTGCGTGCGTCTGCAAATGAGTCTGGTGAGCTCCGCGTTTCCGCCCAATCACCATGGATACCGACTGGAGGCAGTAGAGGGGCCGCGCGGCCGCACTTTGCTCGAAGAATATCTCCCCTCTCACGGACAAATCTTTTTGTGAAGTCTTCGAGGTTTACATACGTAATAGATGAAACATTCACACAGAACTCATAGACCGAGAGCCAGCACCAAATTATCCAACCGGAGAGTATAAGAATTTTCACATAGATTCTAAGATCGGGGCACTTGAGTGTAGCAAGGATCGGGCAGTCTGGCTGGTCATAGCCGATGGGTTCAAAATTTGAGACCCATCAAATTTCCAAAAAATTGCGTAAAATTTAAGTGGAAAGGATTATGGTTGATTTTATTCTCATTTTGTAAGGGTGACTTCCCTGATTAGATATCACCTTGCCAGCCTGTCGAACTCTAATGGGAAAGGATTGCCAGATCGCCCGAAAGTTGCTAAAATTGACCTTTTCCGCCTATATTCCAGGCACCATAGCTCCATATGGGAGGTAATATCGAACTAAATGTTGGAAAGCTGGAAATTTTTTTAAAAGACGTATTATGAGGTCCTTAAACGAGAGTTCAATTTTGGAGAAGGCTGTGGTGGTGATCAAAGAGGATATCTCCATCACTCATTATGATACGAAAGCCATGAATCAGGTGCAAGACCTTAAAAGCACGATTGAAGGACTTGTTAACATCGTTGAAAAAGAGGAAGAAAAAAAAATAATTTATGACCTTCAAAATAGATTGCTCGTGCTTGAAAAAAGGAGCAAAGACTTCCTGAAACTGCTCGGAGGGAAACCCCCTAACCTCAAGCAACCTATTCAGGGAAGTACGCAATCCTCAGCAATGATGGAAAAATCAACGAGGATGATCTAATGGATCATGAAGACCTAGAAGATCGAATCGTGGAAGAAGTAACGGACTGGATACTCCGCAAGCAGAAAAGGAAGAGAAACGAAGGAAGTGACTCATCCCCACAAAAAGCTCAGGCTAAGAAAGGAAGGAAAGCGGATACATTGCGGTCCGGAAACAGAGAAGGTGCCTAGAAAGTCTCTACATCTATTGAAAACATCAGCAGTTCGTTCAATAGCTCTTATGATAAAAATAAAAACGGAGGTACTTAAAATTAAAAAAAAAAAAAAAAAATACGAAAATGAGTTGAGCAAGAAGCTAGTTCCTTCTTAATTTAAGGTTACCCAATTAAAATCAATCAGGGAGGTTAAACAATTTGTTGAAAACATAGATTCTGATAAGTATAAATTAACAGCATCAGTTGGCAACGTCTGGAAAATTAATAAACAGACCCGAAACCTATAGGTAAGTTAGAGGAAACCTTGAAAAACGTAATGCTGAACGGTACCCTTTTTCAGACAAACATCTTCGTCCAAAGGTTTTTGTAGCCAAAGAGATGCATTGTTCTCATTGTTCATGCCAGTTCTACCACTCATCTAGATAAAATTACAGAGAATCTTACATCCAAAGGTTTTAATATTATTAAAGTTGTTGATCTGCTAAGCAAAGAAGACGAAAATGGGAAGAGGGAAGGTCATCCATTACATCAAATCATATTAGATAACAAAGATGGTACCAAGAAAATCTTTGAAATAGAATTTATAGCACATCAGAAAGTAGAAATCAAAAATGTGAAGCACAATCCGGCAAGGATTCCTCAGTGCCACCGTTGCCAGGGGTTTTTGCATACTCAAGCATTTTGTCATAAAGATCCTAAGTGCGTAAAATGTAGTGGACCTCACTTGAGTTTCTTATGCTCTGAAAAGAAAGTGGATAGTCCAAAATGTGTGAATTGTGGCCAAAACCATACAGCAAATTATTTCGGTTGCGAGATCGCTAAGTTTTTCAAAGAACGTAGGCTGGCAGATTTAAACAAGAAAAAACCAAATAAATAGTGGTAAAGATATTTCAGGAAATAAATTAAGTCAGAGACCAGTCGGCAAAAATGTATCTTTTGCTAGAATGGCTAGCAATGGTAAATCCAACGATAAAGAAAATCTCGACAGTCTGATGGAGAAAATACTTCATTTCTTAAATGAACAAGCAACTATTAATGCTCAAATTCTTTCTAGGCTTGATGCTCTAGAGGGAATACTACTTGGCAAATATGGCCTATAGGGTGCCTCATAGCAGAAGGTCAGGACCTCCTTCGAATAGTATTAAAAAAATTCTTGGTAGTCACTTTGACAGGGATAAAATCCCCTCTTATGTTGAATCTAATCTAAATAGTATTGAAACAATTAAATTTGATAAGATTAAAATTGTAGCATGGAGCGCTAACGAACTGTCGGCAGAGAGGAAACTAAAATTATCAAATTACATAGATTTTTACCGAATTGAAGTAGTGTTGTTGTCAGAGACTCACTTTCCCGACACCAGTCACTTTCAGAAACATACATTTAATGTCCACTGGGTTAAACACTCTTCCGATAATTCACACAGGGGAGTCCCTATCATGGTCAGAAAAGAATTTCAATATTTTATATGCAATGAAACTAAATCTGAAGCGATTCAATCGATAGCAATTACTATGAAAACAGAAGAAGGGGATATAACAATTGTTTCCATTTATTGTCCTTCTGGACCTAAGATTCAACATAATGATTTTTCGGAATTTCTAAAAACTCTGGGGAACAGATTCATTGCTGGCGAGGGCTGTAGGGTGTCCCATTTTGGACGTTAAAAAAAAAAAAAAAAAAAAAAAAAAAAAAAAAAAAAAAAAAAAAAAAAAAAAAAAAATGCGAAATTCAACGGAGATACTTGCCAAAAACTTGTCTCATGGTTAGAAAAAAATCACAAAAAAATATCAGGGTCGTGGCTAAAGGTTAACTGGTCCCGCAAGGCACTGAGGTGGTTTTACCGATTTCTCATCTTAACGATCTTAGCAAGTTCGCAGATTTTTTCTTGGAAAATGCAATCAAGCTATGAAGTCGCAAATGCAGATAATGAGACTTCTAATACTATATTTTAAGAGAAAAATAACAGTTTGGACCCACAAGGCTCAGAAATTCTTCGTTCTTAGCTCTCAAAATGCAAAAATCAGCGATTTTAACATTTTGTAGTCAAACTACTACTCGACCATCGCTCGACTTAAATGCCGCGGCATTTGACGCGCTGTTTCATAATGATCCCATCGGAGGACCATAAAGTCCTTCAAGTATGTTTATTAGGGGTGTAAGAGGGTCACTTTGGCAAATTTTCGTTGATATCAAACTTGGCGCTAATTCTTAAAAAGTTCCCCCCCCCCCCCTAGTATTTTCCTGTTTTTCATCATTATTTATTATGGTTTAAAAAGGCGACTCACCTTACACCAGAGTTGAACTCCTTTGGCAAAAAATGTACGTAGGTGGTCAAAAATCCTTCCTCTGAAAAAGTTTTTGGATTCACAGCCTCACAAAAAAGCCGATGTTGCCATATTTAATCGTCTGAAAACACGAAAAACCGAGTACCTATTTCAGTATTCGGAGGCTGTTCCTCACCGAGCTCATTCGGCAAAGTTCAGCAAACCTTGAATTTTCATACGTTATGACCACATTACCAGTGATTATGTATATGTATTAATCTATAGAGCCTCCCACTGCGGTGCAATGTTGCCACATGTCTTCGGTAAAAGTCGATGAAAAGCAGCATTTCCTTGGATTTGAGCCATTTTTTTGGATCATGCACATGGAATAAATATGTAAGCCTTAAATTGCAGTGTTCAGAGATGGAAGGGGATCATACCTTGTGCCGATATTCATCATTTTAAGATCCTGCGCTTATTGACGACCCATTTCTTACGACTTCTAGGCATGACTTCTGTGCACGAGAATGCGACTTTCAAACATTGACTGTGATCTGAGGACCAAAAAAAATCTATGCCAAATTTCAAAATCGCGGATATTCAGTGCTGAATTTTCATCCCCCCTCCCCGTCATGTGTGGGATTTTTTAAAATTGGCAAAGAGATATGAATGTCGTATTGAAAAACATGTCAATGAAGAGGCTGTAAACCTCTTAGATAGTACAATAGTTGTGAAAAGATTATAAAGGTGGGAGACCTTTGAACTCCCATCAAGATTTACTATGTAAGTAGTCCGTAAGGTATGAATGAGAGTGTGAATGGAGTGTGAAAGGAAGAATGTGAAACAATTAAACTAAAATCCTCTATGTTTTAATATCTCTAAAAAAGAAGGCAGAGAATTTTACAATTCCTTTTTTCATTTAAGATAATCATCGTATTATCTAATGTTACCCTGTAAAATTAATGTATTTTTTTTAGTTTTAGTTTTAAACCATGTTGATAGAAACAAGAAAATACTTAAAGTGGTTACGTGATCTTTCTTGAAAGAAAGTGCTTCTAAAAGTGAAACACTATCTGCTGAAGTTACATTCCGGTTCGACATCAGAGTTTAAGGGCAGATTATGCCATTTGACGAGGAACATCTCTTTATCAAACACAAGAGGGAAAATTTTCTAGGCTTGTGTAGAATGTTTTCCCGTACATTTTGGGCTGCTGAATCTGAAAATTACCTTGATTATCCTCTATCGTGAACCAATTTTCTGAAAAATTAGTGGGTAAAAAGAAAAAACTGAGGGCATTTTTGGACATAGCACGAAGAATCACATTCAACTGAACCATTGTATCCCCAGCGTTTTTTAATTTTTTTATTTTTATTTTGCAGACCTGTGTAATTCTTTCTTTCTTCATCTACATTCTTTTCTCACAATTAGCGTTTTAATTTCTCTCTTTTTTCTTTATTTTTGGCTCTAGATGTGTGATTGGCCTTGACTCTCTGTCTAACAGTTCAACTCTCAGATCCGAATTAACAGTTCAGCTGTGGAGTGACTGTCAAGTTTCAGCTAAAATTTATAGATCAACAGAACGCGAAAAAGCTTTGCAACTTTGTGGCTGGCGGAGCTACGACGTGTCATCCAACAACATTGCTACTTTTGTAATGCAGCTTGAAGGAAAAGGAGCATTTTCAAGAGCTGCAACCATAGCTATTTTTAATTTGAAACTGCGTCTGGCTGTTGATATTTTAAACAGAGGAGCTGTTTCTGTACCACATTTAAACATTGTGGCGATGGCTGTTTCAGGTATTTGTTCTTTAACAACTCTCAATGAGCAGAGCTAAGAACAGAATAGCATTAACTTCATGTTATTTTTTTCTTTGTATAAGAATTTTGTACTAACATTTCTCATCAATATTAATCAGTCTCTGAATTAATGTGACATAATCTTCCTAAAAATTAAAACTGACCAATGAACAGTGCTGATACTTATCCGAGGGGGGAGAAAAAACCAGATCATTGATTATACCTCTTCTTATAGTATTGGTTTTAAGCCAACGGCCTCAAGCGGGCATCTTAATTAAAAGTCTATTACACCTTTGGTAAACAGAAGGATTGTCACTTTAAATTTAGCCCAACTTAATACTAACTTCTTTGAGGGAGAATTCAGGAGTAAGATGGCGAATTGAAGTTAACATCTGCAACATGAGAATTGCTCTCCACTCAGATGTATTAATAGGACATCACTGTGTGCAACCAACAGCAGCTGTCAAAATACCAATAAAACCTCAACTCCTGTCAAAGCTTCCAGGATTATTTCTCCTCCATAAGTATCCGTACAATCGGTAAATTGTGCTGCAGTGTTGCAATAGTAACAAATAATAGAGCAATAATGCAAATGAGGACAAATTTCAAAGAGCTTGATACAAAAACGACTTTCTCCGCCCTGCCCCCCTCTGGAATTTCCTCAAACTTTGTCTATTCATTATTCATACTTGAGCGCTTCTTTTTCCAAATTTTCAGACCCCCAAAAAATTTTGGGGGCCGAAAGTCAAAACCTGTGAATCTCGATATCTCTCGAACGAAGGAAGATATTGAGGTCCGGTTTGGTCAAAAAATCGTCTAAAATTGCTTACTTCAAGATTCTAAAGGTCAAAATCCCGAAATCACATTTTCAAGTCAACACATGTGCTTTTTTTTCATTTTTTGAGTCTGGAAAATTTCTTTTAAACACAGGATACACAAAGATCTCAATTTTTTCATTTGAACCATAACCAGTTTTCTAAATGGTTCGTCTTTCTCCGCATCCAGCGAGTGGCCCATCACGCTGGGGAACCGAACAGTTCGGGAGTCATGAGCATTTGAATTTTCCCTCGCGCCCCGACCGATTTCCACGCGCCATAAAGCCGGATTTGGGTGTTATTAAAACAGATTGAATGTTCACAGGCTTGCCACATCCCATCTCGGGCCATGGTACCAGTTCTAAGTCTGGGCCCCATGAATGCCGCCCCCATTCCCCTCCCCCTCCACCGCCCCCTTACCAGTGAATAATTTGTAACATCATGAAAATCAATCAGGTTAGAATAAAGATACAGCAAATCAAGTAAATAAATGCTCGTCAACTTAAGGAAGAGAAGTTTATTCACATTGAAAACAGAATTTATACACTAAAAATCTTGAAAATAGATAGCAATTCTCGAAGAAGTAGGAATAATTCTACAGCGCCCCAGCGTGTTTTTGAAAATGTATTAACCCTCTCCGAAATTTTGAGGGTAAATTTTTCACTTTTCCTTACGAGACTAGGGTTATATGTGAATGGGCCTGTTGCAAACATTTGCTAAAGCAAAACTAAGAGTTGTTTCTTATAGATAATGCCTCAAAAATCATGATGAGCGCATCGGCAAAGTCTGAAATGCATTCATAACTTCACAATCTGCGTAAGAAATTTGCGGGTTTTTGAGCCTCCCGCTTCAAAAACGATACTACGGCATAAGTGAACATTTTGTTAGAGGAGTCGCTCCACCGTCGGCAATATTCATCATGGCCGACGCTTGCGCAGTTCCGCGCGTAATTCGAGAAGAGTTTAAGATCAATCAAGGCGGGCGAGGAAAATATGAACGTAAACACGCTGATTGTTGTCTGGTCTTATTCTGATCAGGTGTTATCTCGTCCCATCACACGTGTTTTGGCGGATTGGCGTTGGCCATGATGAGTATTGCCGACGATGGAGCAACTCCTCTAACAAAATGTTCACCTGTGCCGTAGTATCGTTTTTGAAGCGGGAAGCTCAAAAAAACGCAAATTTCTTACGCTGATTGTGAAGTTATGAGTGTATTTCAGACTTTGCCGATGCGCTCACGGTGATTTTTGAGACATTATCCATAGGGATCAACTCTTATTTTTGCTTTAGCAAAAGTTTGCAACAAGCCCATTCGAAGTAGTGTGTCAAGGGCCCCTCTGGGATCGGGCCTTGGTACCAGGGGCCCAGTATCCCCACCCTTGTGGTGGGCCTGAATGTTCAAACCGTGCAAAATAAGTCTTTGGGAATTCTTGAGGGTCGCTGAGTGCAGAAATTGCAGCTCCGTACTGGCCCACTGAGCGGCCGGTCAGCGCCCGGTGGGCCTTTAAAGTAGCGTTATAGAGCTGTAATTTTAAAAACGTGATTTCTTTTGGAGGTATCTGTAATTTCTGAACTCAGCGACCCTCAAGAATCCTTAAAAACTTATTTTGCACGGTTTGAACATTTAATCTTGTTTAATAACACCCAAAAATCGGCCAGGGCGCGTTGGGAGGAAACTTCAAACGCTCATAACTCCTGAACTGTTCGGTTTCCAAGCTTAATGGACCACTCGTTGGATGCAGAAATAGACGAACAATTTCAAAGATTGCTTATAGTTTAAATGAAAAATTGAGATCTTTGTGTGTCCTCTGTTTAAAAGAAATTTTCTAAACTCAAAAACTGAAAGAAAGCACATGTGTTAGCTTGAAAGTGTGAATTAGGGATTTTGACCTTTAGAATCCTAAAGTATGCAGTTACAGACGATTTTTTTGTCCAAACCGGACCTCGATATCTTTCTTTGTTCGAGAGATATCGAGATTTACAGGTTTTGACTTCCACCCCCCTAGCCAGGCCCGCTACAAGGGTGGGGATACTGGGATCCTAGTACCAGGGCCCAGATTCCGGAGGGGCCCATGCCGCCCGTGACACATCACTTAATTTATTTATATTCCAACTGATTAGGTGCCAGCAGTTGCGGTTAGACCTAAGGTCAACTAACTTTATATTTAGAGATATCATATTGATTAAAAAGATAAATAAACCAAATTGTAAATAAGTAAAATTTTTGAAATTTAAATAATCTTAACAATAAAGATATAAGTTTCTGTTAAAAACTAGGATTAGGTTCTCATGTAACCCTTTCCTCATCAGGAAAAGTGATTTGCCCTAAAAATTTAGCAAAAGGTGAACGAGTTTTCAAAAACATGCTGGGGCATTGTAAAATTCTTCTACTTTTTTGAAGATTTCTATTCATTTTCAAGATTTTAAGTGCACAAGGCTATTTTTAATTACTGCGTTTCATTTTCCTTCGTCGTCTGACGCTAAGAGTCTCTAGTCTGGGCATTAAGTCAAATGATTTTTCTGGCGGTTTTGGGGGAGGGGGGTTGGTGGCAGTCATGGGGTCTGGGCCTTAAAACTAGTACCAGGGCCTGAGATGGGATATGGCGGGTCTGCCCCAAAAAAATTTTTGGGGGTCTGAAAATTTGGGAAAAGAAGCGCTCAAGTATGAGTAATCAATAGACAAAGTTTGAAGAAATTCCAGAGGGGGGGGAGGCGAAAAAAGCCGATTTTGCATCAAGCTCTTTCACCCAACTCTCTCTGAATTATGTTGTTTCAGGTTTTTCCGATTCCAAATCTGGAATGTGGCGAGAGTTGTGCACATCATCCATGCTGCAGCTATCAGATCCGTATCTAAGAGCAATGTTTGCATTCCTGACCTCAGAATCTGACTCTTATGATGGAGTCCTCACGGAGCAAGGAATTCTAGTCAGTGATCGAGTGGCGTTTGCCTGCATGTTCCTTAACGATTCTAGACTTTGTGATTACCTAGGAACGCTTACATCATGGATCATTGAAGAGGGAAATTTATCTGGTAATGTCAGTCTTCTAACATCACCTATTTTCTTCTATGAAAGAAAAAACACCAATTTGTCAAATCATAGTTTCCTTCCAAGGAGACAAATCTTTTCCATATTTTCTTTTTCTATCCTTGATTACGAATTTTACTATAATATCATTTGGTGCTCATAACTATAGACTGTAAGTCAGACTCGTAAAACAGAATAAAAGGAATGAGTAGTAATGGTGGGGGTAACTGGACTAGGCTTTAGACCCAACCTTCTCCGATTTTATTGAAATTAGGTTAGGCAAGTTACTTCATCACTATGAGAAGACGATTTGAAGCATTTTTGCCTCCCTCAATCCTTAGATGACATGATTTTCAGTAATTCTTGAAAAGCTCATTTTATGATAACTCTGCTTCTAATTCTGTCAACTGATGAAAAAGTTATTTTTGCACCATTGTTTCACATAGCTTCCTAAAATCACATTGGAATTCAGCTAAAATTAGTTGAACAGCCCAGTTTGTTCAATAATATTTTGCTGAAAATGCTATGTCAATTTTACTCGACTTACCATACAAGTTAAAAATTTGGAACTAGATTGAATTTCAAAGAAATTTGAATGCGAAAAGTGGCAAAAAGTTTTTTGACCTCAAAATATCCGAAAATTGGAACATTTCCAGTTCAGACCAATTTTAAAAAAAAATATATATATAAATCGAGCAGGAAAATTGATCTTCTTCTTCCTCGAACGACTAGGGCATAGCCCTGTTTGTCTGTCCATCCAGTATTAAGCACAATGAACTATATAAATATTAATAATCTAAAAATCACTAAGAATTAAGGACTTGTCAAATCAACAAAAACAGCATAAAATCTTCAATCATCCTCAGAAGGAAAGAGCCAGCTTTGTGCCCATCTCTCAGGCAGTCGTCCAGGTAATATTTTCCCTAAGGGTTGTCGTATGGTATTACAAATTTTTGCTAGTCTCTCTTCATCCATTCGGTTAACGTTCTCCGACCACATCCTTTTCTTCACACTGGTCCACTTGGCTACATCTTGCACCCCAAGAGCATCCCTGATGGACTTGCTGGTCTGCCTATCCTAAAGTGTAAAACCCGCTAAAGGAAAATTGATGAGGAATAAAATTGTTATCGTGGAAACCACCTTTCATTGAAAAAAAATTCCAGCAAAATCAGATTGGTAGCCACCAAGGAACAGGGCTTAGAAAAAAACCAAAATGGCTTGCTCCAGCCGCGGGTTTCAGAGTGTTGTCCCTCCCAGAATTACCCCTGAAGGCACCACCAGAGAGCCCTGAAAGTGGTATATTCCAATCAAAAAGTGCAGGGTTTTTGTCCTTTTTATGTTGTAGGCAACACACTAGAATTGAATCGGTTTTGAAAACATACCAACTCGGACAAAGTCAAATGTTCAGGAAACACAAAAAGCTGCTCAGCAGGAGAAGATGTTACTTTCAGAAAAAGCCTTTTGGTGCCAAAAGCCAAGTACTTGGAGACACTGTAAAAGATCAAGTTGAGATTGATATGCCATGTTTGATGACACAGAATTAGGCTTTTACCAGTTGCTGAGTTGGTTTGTTTTCGTTCTCTTCGACTCTCAGACACTGATTTTACATGGTTTGCCCCAAAAAATGTATATTTTTTGACATGTAACCCTTGACTATTTATATAACTTGTTGTTACTAGATAAATTGAACAAAAAAACCCCACAAAATCGGACGGCCATCTGTTTTTTTGGGAAGGTCTTAAATCGGTGTATCCAATAAAATGCTAAATCTCTTCTCTTTTTAAGAATTGTTCCTGCCAAATATTTTAGTTGATGGCACTAAGTACCCTAAAAAATGTTTGGTGAATCTCAGGCCCTGAAAAAGTCCACCGCTCCCTCCTTCTGCCTGCAAATGATATAAAAAGGCCCAACATAAGAGCGCATTTTTCTGTGTAGGCAACGCACTATCACCAGTGATTGAATGAACCTTTGATGGCCCTCAAAATAACTCAAATATTTTGGGCGGATTCCTTTTTAGCAACCGCACCAGGCAAAATTGATTAAAAATGAGATACATTGTTCCCTATGCTCCTTTGTCTGCAGAATTCGAAAATTACCTTGGTGTTTCACTATAATGCATCAATTTCATGATAAATGGAATTTTCTTCGGAAAAGTCCGTTTTTCGTCGGAAGATCATCTCGTGGGCAGTCGGTGGGTAAACGGAAATCATTGTTGTCATCTACGAACTCAACGCTAAAAATTACATTAGAGTCATTTTTCAAGAGAGTTAGAGTTTTTTTTTTTTGCTGTTTTTGATTCAGACTTTCGTTATGCGCCCATTATTTTTTATTTCCTTCTAATGATGTAATCTCATCCATCATGACTTATTCTGGTTTTTGTTTTCCCCTTTGTAAAATCAGGTCTTTTTTTAACGGGAGCAGGAGTAGATGCAATTCCTTTACTACAATGTTACCTTGACGTCACAGGTGATGTTCAGAGTGTCAGTTTAATCACGGTTCGTTCTTTTCCTCCTGAATTGATCCAGGAAAACCTCCATCTCCAAAACTGGATTCAGTGGTATGCATTTTGACCAAATTGTTATTAGGTTACTGTGATTATAAAAACTGAACCATTTGGCTTTGTTTATTGTTAAAGCAAATCAGGGAAAGAGCCTGCAAAAATCCCAGGTAGCAACGTTTTAAGTGATTCTTATGTAATTTTTGACGCTGAAACCGAAGTTCAACTTCGCACCAAAAAATTTGGACAGGGAAGTTGCCAAATTTGGTAAAAATGACCTAAAATTGACTATTTTGGCGGACTATGGACTGTAACCCTGAAAAGTTGGTCTGACGTCAAAATTAGTTATTTTCCAAATTAAAGTTCGTTAAATTTTTTACGGGCGAACGGGGAAGGGGGGGCAGGCCACCTTACCAGCCCCTCACCCCCTGTCTCTTGGATCTGCCCATGGATTTTTATGAATGGTTGGATATTTATCAACTTCATCAAATAAACAATTTCCTCAGCTTCCTCTGCCCACTGGCGTTGAAGTGGCAGGACCATCAGAGCCATGGAAGAGCAAAGGAGCATAAATTAACAGAGCCAGTGAATTTAGCAGTTATTGTTTACGTGGGCTAGGCCTACAACCTGAAGAATCTTACATTGGATTATTGTTATCAACACTCCCATTTGAATTTTCTGTAGTTTTGGTAATGATTGAGTATTTGAATGTGTGTAAGAGCGCATGTGTCCGTGTGTGTTCGTGCGGTAGGAATAATTTAAACACAGTAGATGGAATCCAGAAGCTTCAAAGACTAAGTCTAATGGAAAACTGGTCCTTGGGCTGTGGTATGGGGACATTACGTAAAAATAGAATGCACTAAGTACCGGACCTCTTGGGTGATGTGGGAGCAAGTCATCACAATATTGTATCTGTTGATTAATTTGTAAGTTAACATTATACGAAAGGAAGTTAATATATTTCATACAGAATATCACACTAATTTAATACGCTGCATTTTTCGATCCATGCAGTCAGCGAGAAGTTAGACTTCCTGGCGTAACTGCCATGCTACTATCACGATAGCGCGTGTGAAAGGATATGACCCTTCAACATGTTTACCCCTTTTTTAGAGACACTGCTTGTGACGATGAATTATTTCAACCTTACTATAAGTAGTTCTTATTCATTCGTCCCAAATTACAAACTAAAGAATACAGGAGTAAACAAATAATAAAGGAATAATAATGGTCAAAAACGGCCAAAAAACAATTTTACATAATCTCGGCATTATTGCAATGCGGTTAGTTCTTTATTTTTGATTTCAATTTATGTCTTTCATGACAAATTTCCATCAACTTCACGTCATTTGTCAATAGATCGTTCATCAGACGGCAAAACAGAGGAAATGGTCAAAAACCGCGAAAAATGCCAATTTTTGCTCTTTTTTCAAAGTTCTGCACCATCAACTGCATTTAATTTTGCCTTGAGCAAAAAAATGCAAAGGATCAGTTTTATAGGATATTTAACGAACTTCAGTTTTGGAAATAACTTATTCGTCATCAAATCAACTTTTCACAAGTTACAGGCCATAATCTGCCAAAAAAGCCAGTTTTAGGCCATTTTTGCCAAATTTGGCAACTTTCTGATCCAAATGTCTTGATGCGAAGTAAAAATTTGGTTTCAGCGTCAAAAATTACATATAATTACGTTACTGAAAACCTTGTTGCTCGCGATTTTTTCAGGCTATGGCCCCTTTTTTGGCTTATGTGCGGCACGTAATGTGCCTGGATTATTAGCTTGAGTGACACTGTGAAACTGATATGAAATGACACCATGCCTATGCTTAAAGTAACACATCAACTCGGCCATGCTACACCATGGTCTGAGAGCGCCAAATTATGGCCAAAAATCAGGAAATGGTCAGAATATCGCGGAAGGAGGAGTATCGTTTTGGGCCTTTTCCGGCCCCACCAGGATTTTGCTGAATGTTTCATATTTTCAAAGTACTAGTCCTAGGTAGACTTTATGCCAAATATTTTTCCGAAAGGAGCTCATGCAAAGGTGCAACAACGCTTCAAACCCAGAATCTTGGCATCGAAAATTAGATATTTTCGTCGACTTTTTAGACTGTTATCACTCTTTCAGCAGATGACTCATGTGTATTTTTTTGCGTACTTTCCGTTTCTGGCCTTTTTAAAGGCGTCCGATAAATTATATGGGGCCTTATGGCCTATTGTTGCCATTTTTGGTCCATTTTTAGGGGTTTTTAAATTTTACACACGCCGAAATCAATTCAAACTAAGAACCGTGTACGTTTTTGAAAAGAACGCCAAAAAATGAATAAATAATGTCCAGTACAACTTTTTTTCTATGTTGCCAAATTTTCGCTAAAAATCGTCCCAAAGAGCCAAAAATGGCAGAAATTCGATAAATTGCCATGCTAAAGGTTCAAGAAAGTGGGGTACAACTTTTATATTGACGTACGTAACAGCTCTTACCTATATATATATACAACATATCAAAAAATTATAGTTGTACCTGGATTCCCACGATGTGAAAATTGACCGGGATGTCGATTTTAGCGGCCTTTTTTTACTTGAAGGTAGCTCTTTTGAATGTTTTTCGACCTTAGTCACCCTTTATGGGTGTGTACTATGGGTATTTTTCTACGTACTTTTCATGTCTGGCCATAAAAATGGCTCCCTGTAAATTTTAAAAGGCCTAACGGTCCATTGTTGCCAATTTTCACCAATTTCTACGGGTTTTTTCAAGTTTACGTGTGTGAAACTTGATTTAATCTAAAAACCATGTACATTTTCGGAAAGAACGTAAAAAAATACATTAAAATGGATTGCATTTTGCAAAAAGGAACCACTAGCATTGCAATGATGCTAAGATTGTGCAACTTCATCTTCTGCAATAAAATTGCGGAAATCGTGAAAAACTGTGAAATTTAGATGGTAATTTTTGTCTTAAATTTACAGTTTTTAGCGAGTAAAATAGAAGCTATTAATGGATAATCGGGTTTTTCCTCCAAGACAAAAGAAGTTGCACAATCCTAGCAACATTGCAATGCTAGTGGTTCCTTTTTGCAAAATGCAATCCAAATGTGATTTGTAACTTTTCCCCACGTTGCCAAATTTTCGAGAAAAATCGTCCTGAAGCGCCAAAAATGCCAAAAATGCCAAAAAATTAGATTAATCATCACGTCGAAATATCTAATTTTCGATGCCAAGATTCTGGGTTTGAGGCGTTGTTGCACCTTTGCATGAACTCTGTTCGGTAAAATATTTGGCATAAAGTCTACCTAGGACTAATACTTTGAAAATATGAAACATTCAGCAAAATCCAGGTGGGGCCGGAAAAGGCCCAAAACGATACTCCTCCTTTTAGGTACCCAAGATTTTTGGATTGCTGACTTCAAATTGGGCCTCAGTTTTACAAAATTCTCAAATCCAAGATGGCGACAGACCCTTAAAACCGAAAAATTAGAAAAAAATCAAACTATGATTCGAATGCTATATTTCATGACAGTTTTGTCTTCTGGAGGTTGCCAGACTACACTTTGCTACCCCATTGTCAGTTTTGCAAAAATGACGCGTCTACCAGAGCTAAAGCCTTAAAAAGGAGTATTTTTCCCTGAAAAAGATGAGAAATAATCGTTATTGAGTAAAGTTAGCATTTATTTTTTAGCCTATCGGTCCTGACTAGAGCATAATTTATGTACTGAATATGGTGGTATTAGTATTAACAAGACTTTTAGTTAGGGGGATATGAGGCCAAGTTATAGAGTGCCCCCTTCCAGAACTAACATTTACAAATATATATCCTGATTTATTATATACAGGGTGTTCGAAAAGTCCCCTCCCCCCTCTAATTTTTAACCTAATTGAGGTAGAGATTTGAAACTTGGAGGGTGTTCTTAGATCAAAGGGAGCTACTTTTTGACTCCCTCAAAATTTTGGGGGGCCCCCCCTTGGGGGGGGGGGGGGGGNGGGGGGGGGGTTACGGACCCTAACTTTTTTTTTCAAATGGGATGACCAGCTTTGTGATACCTCGTTCGAAAGAGCATAAAAAAAGAAAAAAATTTCGCGCAAACCCGAAGTCGTTATCTCAAACCGTTTCAAAATGGCGGTCGGTCAAAGTTCAAAATGGCCGAAAATTGGCACCTCTGCTATTTGCGCATGGATTTGCTTGAAACTCGGTATCTGGGGGTATTTTGGCACGAGAAAAACGAATTTGACGTTAAATTTTCAAAAAAACCCTAATTTTTCAAAATGGCCGCCGGTTTAGGCTCGAAATTTTGACAAACTCAATTTTTTGCCGATGGATTCACCCGAAATTCGGTATCTGGGGGTATTTTGACCCGAGAAGAACGAATTCGACGTCAGATTTTTAAACAAACCCTCATTTTTCAAAATGGCCGCCGATTAAAGTTCAAAATTGTCAACAATTAGCAACCTCGACTTTTTGCCGATGGATTCCTGTTAAATTTCAAGCTTCAGCTTCAGGATTCTCAGCTTATCGTCTTTCTCCCACCCAGATACCCCCAAACATCGAGTTTCAGGCGAATCCATCGGCAAAAAGTCGAGGTTGCCAATTGTTGACAATTTTGAACTTTAATCGGTGGTCATTTTGAAAAATGAGGGTTTGTTTTAAAATCTAACGTCGAATTCGTTCTTCTCGGGTCAAAATACCCCCAGATACCGAATTTCAGGTGAATCCATTAGCAAAAAATCGAGTTTGTCAAAATTTCGAGCCTAAACCGGCGGCCATTTTGAAAAATTAGGGTTTTTTTAAAAATCTAACGTCAAATTCGTTTTTCTTGTGCCAAAATACCCCCAGATACCGAGTTTCAAGCAAATCCATGCGCAAATAGCAGAGGTGCCAATTTTCGGCCATTTTGAACTTTGACCGGCCGCCATTTTGAAACGGTTTGAGATAACGACTTCGGGTTTGCGCGAATTTTTTTCTTTTTTTATGCTCTTTTGAACGAGGTATCACAAAGCTGACCAGCCATTTGAAAAAAAAAGTTAGGGTCCGTAACCCCCCAAGGGGGGGCCCCCCAAAATTTTGAGGGGGTCAAAAAGTAGCTCCCTTTGATCTAAGAACACCCTCCAAGTTTCAAATCTCTACCTCAATTAGGTCAAAAGTTAGAGGGGGGGAGGGGACTTTTAGAACACCCTGTATATATTTATTATATATATTTATTATATATACATACATAAAGCCGCTTTTATAGCGCAGCCTTGCACTCTGCGACGCCCAATCGTCATTGCCCCCTATCCTCCCAGAGATCATCAGGCAATCGGCACCTTCTGACCTCCTCCTCCACCCCTTGTCGCCAACCTTTCACAGGACGTCCACGCCGTCGCCTTCCGGGAGGAACCCAATCGAAAACCTGCTTGGTCAACCGATCGTCTGCCATCCCTTGCACATGTCCATAGCAGACCAACTGGTTGGATCTGATATCGTGCTCGATGTCCTTCTCCACACCCATTATCTCGCGCATTTTTTCATGGCGGATACGCTCTCTTCTCGATATCCCAACAGACCTCCGCCAAAAGTCCATCTCAGTTGCCCTAAGCATGTCTTCAGTTCTTTTCTTGAGTTGCCAGACCTCACTCTCGTAAGTTACGATACTCTTCACGATGACTCTGTAAATTTTTTTTGGTCTCCTTTGAGATACTCAGGTCCCAGAGAATCCCATTTAGAATCGCGATAGCCTTCCTGCCTTGCACATTCCGATCTTCAATGGCCCGATCCAAATTTTCGTCCTTAGTGAACCAAACTCCTAGATATTTATACTCTTCACAGTCCTGAATTTTCTGGCCATCCTCTAGTTCAATGCTTTGCTGATCACCACCGATATCCAACTTTTCCGTCTTAACCACATTTACTTCCATTCCCCACTTTCGGTATACATCCACTAACTTGCGCGTCATGTAATTCGCATCTTCTTCGTCCTAAGCTATTACCACCTGATCATCAGCAAAGCACAGAATATATATTATATATTCCTTATTTATATTTTTCCGGGTACCAGTTTTCATCCCAACCTGTCAAAAAAAAAACGGAGATGTCAAATTTCCATTATTATGAATTTTGACTGGCTGCCATTTTGTCAAAAATTTAGATTTTGACTTGCGGTTTGCACGAAAAATTTTCTTTTTTCATCCTCTTTCGATTAGTGTGTAACAAGAAGGGGGGGGGGGTTGTT